AAATTAATGAATTTTTTTTAACACAGTTGAGCTGGACTGACCCAAAAACTTATAAAAAAAGGAAATTTAACTTTCTATAAAAAAATGTTATAGAAGAAAGTTGTTTGTATTTTTCTAATCTAAAGTAATATAAAGTTAAAAATTTAAAAATTTGAAAAAATTGAATTTTCAAAATTTTGAAAGTACCTACTGTAGTCTTTGTAGTTTACGACGAAAATGGCTGGCTAACGAACTCGATCTGTATTTTAACACTAAGTTTGTGCATGCAAAGTTGCAAGTTGACACAATAAGTTTTTCAAAAGTTATCGTAGGGACACCATTATGTCTACATACAGACACGAAGACAGACACTTTTCTAGACCATGTTTTTCAGACTCAGGGTAGCCCAAAACGTCGAGATTTCATGAAATTAGCGAAAGTCAATTTTCGACCAAAACTAATACTTTCTCATGTGATGAGAATGTACAAAAATTACACTCTAAATAACTTAAAGTTTCTTTTACTATTGACATGAATAATTAGAAATTTGTCAATGAAATGTCTGACTAAAAACCTTTTGTACCACTAATAATATAAACCACTATCGATCTTAACAGTTTTGGAGGTCGATTACGTAATTTCATTTTTACTTTGATTTTCATTTTCGTTTTCACTTTCACTTTGGTTAATTTTTAACTCCCTTTAAATTTTCACTTTTATAGATTTTTATTTTTACTTTTGCTTCCATTTTCACTTTTACTTTCATTTTTATTAAAAAATAAAAAATGTTCACTTGTGAAAATGAAAGTGAAAATAACATTGAAAATCTAATAAAGTGCTAGTGAAAATAATAGTGAAAATAAACATCTATCAAAGTAAAAGTGAAAGTGGAAAAAAAAGACAAAGCAAAAATGAAATTACATAATCGACTTCCTGAATATTTTTTATAACTATTTAATTATTTTTATATCTATATTTTACTACTAATACTGCTACTTGTTACTTTTGTTTTCTACTGCTACTATTTTACTACTTGTATTAGTACTTTTTACTATTGTTTTCTACTTCTGGTATCTTACTACCATTATCACTACTTTTTACTATAAAGTATTAATACTTTTTATTTTTTAATCCTAGTAATGTACTAGTAGTACTACTTCTTTGTACTACAGTTTCCTGCTATTATCCTATTCTGACAAACTTTTTTTAAACTCGAAAAACAATTTATTTTCCTTAATATTTTTTTGGTTTGAAATAATTGTTCTTTCTACATGGAGGGAGAATATATATTAAATTTTGTAAAAATATTTCACAAATTGGGGAAAAAGTGCGACAAAGCGAAATTATAATATTTATAAAGAAATGTTTTTTGATTTCTTGAAGATGGTGTCAAAAATAAAGAAAGAAAAAATTTAAATTAAAAAAGTTGAAATTAAAATTTTCTTAATGTTAATTAAAAACAAATGTTGATTAGAAACAAATCTTAAAATAAAATATTTTTCCTTTGAAATCTTCGTGTGAAGGATAAAGAAACTAAAAAAAAGAAACATAGAAAACGAGTAATTATTCAGAGAGAGAAATTAGAATAAGAAATCGATTATGCACGTAGTTCGGAAAGGAAAATTATTTCCTTTGCGTTTGTTAATATGTTGAAGCCGATCACGTGGCACAAAGAGAAAGCGAGAGAGGTAGAGAGTAGAGAGATCTATAATGCGTCTCAAGGGCTTGAGGGTTGTGTCATGGAAGCTCGCTTGATTGGAATTCGATCGTCTGGTCAAGCTGCTATGTCCAATTGAAATGCTTGACTTGAGCTCCTGATAAAGCGCGTATATGTATATATTACATAACTATATCTTTGTGCGTATATACAGATCGAACTTGGCCACTGGATTGTCTAACCTTATGTAGGTAACCGACCAGGCAATTAAGGATAATTGCATTTGATTACATTCATACATTAAGGCAATCAAACTCAGCAAACAATCGATTATGACAATCGAAAGGTTAAACTACTTGTCTATGATTTAAACCGCAAGATGCTTATTAAATCATCAATTCTCACTTTTAAACGATTTTCATTTTTTCTTGAATATTTATTTAGTTGAAACTAATCATTGAATTTATTTATAAAATGCAAATATGTAAAAAAATAATATACCTAAAGTAATTTTCCTCTATTATATGTAATTTAATTTAATTTAGCTTAATACCTAAAAATTTTAAAAACATAATATAATAGTATTTTTATCCCACATGCATAAAAATGGCGCTTTTAGATAGCTGACGATAGGGAGTAAAGTCACTCATTTGTTCGACCATATGAAAATGGAGTCCATTTTCTACCATGTGCAAACATAACCGCTGATCCCATGCGTTATTTTTGCCCAAGGGAGAAAACGGCCACCATTTTCATATAAGTCGAACAAGTGACTGACTTTTATTCCCTGTCGTCTGCTATCTGAAATCGCCACTTTTGTGCATTAGGAATAAAAAATATCGTAAGTAACATGGGAATAAAGGCAGCCAATTTGTTTACAATGATTTTTGTGACACTCGTTCCGGTCTGGGGGCGCCCTCGACCTCCACTCGTGTCACAAAAATAACCGTAAACAAATGGCTGCCTTTATACCCTTGTTGCTTAATATACTATTTTATTTAAATAAGAATTTTTATTTTTTATAATTTTTAATTCTAATTTCAAATAAAAATATAGGGCCAAAATAAGTGAAACCGGCCACTTGAAAAATTTTTGTCTCCAATTTTCAAGTTATCTATGATTTTTGGTAGATATATGAGTACACTTTTTCCGCCTAAAATATTTTTCAAAAAAAATTTATTTTTGAAGTAATCAGGTGTTGAAGTTTTGGGTCATTTTATTTTCATTTAATTATTACTTTGAAACAAATAAAGATAATTTAGTGAATTTTTTTAAATTAAAGCTTAAAGCCCGTGCAGAAAAATGGTGAGGGCCCTCGTGGATTGCCCTCTTGCCATGTGGAACCCGTAGGGGCAATCCACGCGGAGCCCTCGAAGGCGTGACATGCTTTTCCTCATGGGTGCCCTTGAGGAAAATCCTCATGGATTCTATATGGATTTTCCACGCGGTGCCCTCGTGGATTTCATAAAATGCCCTCAACTTTATTTTCAATTAAATTAATAAATTAATTATTTATTAATAACAAATTAGTCCAATTATTCATAAATAACATTCTTATTTAACAATTTTTACTTTTCTTAATTAAATCGTGACCAAAAAAAAAATCTGACGCACGCGGGAATTGAGCCTACGACCTACTAACTACTAGACAACACTCTTACCACTATGCTACGGGACCTACTTGAAAATTATTGCTTTATTGTAGGTGACTTGCTGACTTGCTTTTGATAATTCAATAAACTATTTATTGAGACTAATGCACCATGACAAATAATTAAATAATTTAATAATAATAACAATATTAATAATATAATAATAGACAATAAATATTCATAAATTAATATTTTTATCATTTCAAAAAAAAAATGTCAAAACATTTGTGTTAAAAACGCGTTTTTCATAGTTTAAAATCAGTATAAACATTAATTTTTTTATGTAAAAAAAATATTTTTTGTTTGGGCTTAGAAATTTTTGCTAGTCAATGATGTGGGCGATCCATGAGGGCCCCTCGCGTGGGCCCTCAAGGATTTTCCCTTAGGTAAGTTCAATATTTTCAAAAAAAGTAACATTAAATATTTGTGAAAAACGTGTTTTTCATTGTTTAAAATCATTATAAACATTAATTTGTTGATGTAAAAAAAATTTTTTGTTTGGACTTAGAAATTTTTGGTATAATCAATGATGTGGGCGATCCATACGGGGCCCTCGCGTGGGCCCTCAAGGATTTGCCCTCATGTGAGTTTTATATTTTTTAAAAAGTAACATTAAATATTTGTTAAAAACGTGTTTTTCATTGTTTAAAATGATTGTAAACAATAATTTTTTGTTGTAAAAAAAATTTTTTGTTTGGACTTAGAAAAATTGTTGAGCAGGGCATTCATAATGGCTAAGAGCAGGTGCCCTGCTGGTGCCCTTGTAAATTTCCATAACTTTGTGATAGGATTTCTGGAAAAATGTCACTTAATGTTTATTTCAGGTGCTTTGAAATGTAATTTAATGCAATCTGAACTAAAGTTTTTTAATAAAAAAAATTTTTTTTTCAAACTTAGATAAATTTTTGAGCAGGGCAACCGTAAGGGCAAAGAACGGGGCCCCTGCTGGTGCCCTCGTGGATTTCTCCTCATGGATATTCCACGAGGGCCCCCAACGGGGGCCTCGGAGCTGTGGGGCTCGAGCGTGGCTTTTTCCACACGGGAGTCAATACTTTAAGGATTAAATAAAGCGATTGCTAAAAAATTAAAATTTATAATTGTTATTAACAATTCTTTTAAACAATTGCAAATTGAAGAATGTTCTCAATGTTTTTGAAAGATTAAATTACGATGTATTGATGCGCAAAACTCCAAGGATTAAATTAAAAAAAAGAAAAATCAGTAACCTCCAATATTATAGAAATTATGTAGATTTTTCTGCCAAAATGCAGGCGAAAATCGACTTTTAATCTTAAAAATCCGCTTGAAAGCGTGAAGTTTCTAACAAAACAAAAGACGATCTTATTTATTCGTTTGCAATTTTATCTTTTTTCAGTAACTCGAGTCGAATTTTGTCTGCATTTTGGCAGGAAAATCTACATAATTTCTATAATATTGGAGGTTACTGATTTTTCTTTTTTTTAATTTAATCCTTGGAGTTTTGCGCATCAATACATCGTAATTTAATCTTTCAAAAACATTGAGAACATTCTTCAATTTGCAATTGTTTAAAAGAATTGTTAATAACAATTATAAATTTTAATTTTTTAGCACTTATTTTGGCCCTATATTTTAAATAATTATTTATTAAGTGGAGTTAATGCAAATTTTGAGCAAATTCTTTTAAAAAATACAAAAAAATGCTTAAAATTCTAAATATTTATTTTGATACCCTAGTAGAAATTTGTCTTAGTTATTATAAAGGAACTGTCCAGTCGCGCTTGAAATTGTCTAGTAACTTCACAAGCCAACTGGCTAATAACTGAAATGGAGTGTCTTCCTGGTGTAAGCACATCAAGGTCGTCAAGGTCTCCGGAAAGAGGGATTAGTGGACGGCAGTTGAGCGCCATTTCTATTTCCACGAGTAGAGTGGTGAACTGTTCATAAGTGAGTTTTCGGGAACCGGTTATTCTTCGCAGATGATTCTTCATAGACTTCACCCCAGCTTCCCAGAGACCCCCGAAGTGGGGGGCTGATGGTGGTATAAAGCGCCACATTGTTTTTTCCTGAGCGAGAACATCCTGAACATGTTGCCAATCGGTCTCGGCTTCTAGAAATAGCCTGCGGAGTTCGTTGTCTGCACCACGGAAATTGGTAGCATTGTCGCTCCATACTTCGAGCGGTCGTCCTCGTCGACAAGTAAATCTTGTCAGACAACCAAGAAAACTCTCAGTAGATAAGTCTCCAACCAGTTCCAAATGGATAGCTTTTGTTGCTAGGCAAACAAATACAGCCACATATCCTTTCGAAGATGATACGCCTCGTCCTTTTGATCGTAAAATTTGAAAGGGTCCCGCGTAGTCCACACCAACTTTACTTAAAGGGCTTCCGGGATTGACCCTGGCAGCTGGTAGATCTGCCATAAGATGGGTAGATGTCCTTTTCGTAGATTTGGAGCACACAACGCATCTCCTAATAAAAGACTTCGTTTTTGTCATACCTCCAATTATCCATGCTCGTCTGCTTGCGTAGGCATAAGTGACAGTAGGCCCTGCGTGCAATGCCCGTTGATGAGCCCAATCCACGATCAGTCCTGATAGAATGCTTCGAGCTGAGAGAATAGGAGGATGCTTCTCTTCTTCTGATAACAGTGAATTCTCTAGCCTTCCTCCAACTCTTAAGATGTTTTCGCTGTCCAGGTAGGGCTTTAGTCGAGCTGTGAGACTACCAACCGGAACGGCACCATGTTTCTTCAAGGCTAGCATTTCAGTGACAAAATTTTGTTGTTGAGAAATGCGAACACAAGTTTTGAATTCCTCTTTAAGTTCACTGGTGGTCATTGGTGCAAACGGCAATATTGCTTTTTGACGACCTACCCATATTTGAATAATTCTTCGACAGCGAACCAGAATTCTTAAGAGTTTGATAAGCGATCAAAATCGATCAAGAATTGTCGGATTTGCTTGAGTTATATGACATTGTATAGGAATTGAGATCTCGGAAATTGGAGCACTTTTTGATTGAAGAATGGATTCTTTCGGCCAAGCGTCTTTGGCTTTTTTAAGCCAGGGTGGTCCATACGACCAAAGAGGATGCTGTGATAGATTTTCGACATCACTGCCTCTTGTGGCTACATCTGCTGGATTTTCGGACGTGGGAACGTAGCGCCATTTGAAGTCTGGTAACAGTTCTTGAATATGACTGATATAATTGTCCACTAGGTCGTTTCCAACAGGTTGATTTGACGAGAGCCAACGAATGACGACTTGGGAATCACTCCAACCAGTGCAGTGATTAAGTTCGATACATAAGACCTCTGCCTGCGCTTTCAACAGTTTTGCGCCTAGTAGAGCTGCTCGAAGTTCTAACCTCGGTATGGTGACCCTTCCAACAGGTCGTTTCGAGGGATTAAGGCTCTTAATTGGAGACAACTTGGTTCTGGCTGCTATCAGTGGTGTTGACATTTGTTTGTGAGAGGAAGATGTGCGAGAGTAAACAGCAGCGGCCATTGCCCTTCGGCTTGCATCGGTAAATAGATGTAATTCTATTTGACTGTTTGGCTCATAATTAATATATCGAGGGATGTTGATTTGATGAACTTTTTTCACATTCTCCCGGAACATATTCCAGTATGACATCATGGATGCTGGAATTCGTTCGTCCCATGATAATTTGGCTTTCCAAAGATCCTGGATGAGCATTTTTCCGACAACGACTAGAGGAGCCAACCAACCAAGGGGATCGAATAATTTGGCAAATTCTGATAAGGCCTTGCGTTTGGTAATCTCGTTGCTTTCATCGAAGTTTGGAGCAGAGAATCGAAATTGATCTTGGACAGGATCCCAGGCAAGTCCTAATTCATTTACAAAGCCCCCGACTTCAAAATGTCGCCAACTTGGGCGTAATCTGTCAGAAAGAGGTATTTCTGAAAGAAAACTGAATAACACTTTGTAATTGACTAAACTTTATTAAAATTAACAATACTTAAGAATTAGATGAACAATTAACATAAATGAACTTCGTAGTATTGCTGCATCTTTGTAGAAGTAACAACGTCGCAAGTACTACGAAGTTCATTTATGTTAATTGTTCCTCTAATTCTTAAGTATTGTTAATTTTAATAAAGTTTAGTTAATTACAAAGTGTTATTCAGCTTTCTTTCATCAAATTTCTAATTAATCATCAACATTTTGGTATTTCTTTTTGCAAATAGCAATTTTAACTTATTGTTATCCCTATCTTATATAATCTAACATTTTCTAATCCTTATCATCTAAGTTCTCCTCGCTCATGTTGAATGTTGGTAATGGTCATATTAAATCAAGCATAATTTGTACATAGCTGCATCGCATTTGTGAATTGTATGAAGCAAATTCCCGACCACGTGGTGGTTCCGGCAGCCTGCTGTATAGGATGAGTCTCAATCTACCCACACTAGGGTTTGGCATCTATCCTAGATAAAGAGATTTTCTGACTTTCGAATCTAATTCAAGTCAGACATTGTCATTAACAATTACTAGCTTTCGATCTAACATTAGGTCAAGCAGTTCAAACTGTCGCAAAAAAAGCCGGTGAGGCGGTAATTGTTATTATGTATATTATATATATTGTTGCAATATTTTTGTTATTTTTTTCAGCAAAATGGATCTCAGATCACAAAGGGCGTTAGCGGATGTATTAAGCAAGGGATCACAATCTGTTAGGGATCAACCAATCAATCAGTGGACGAGTGGTCTGGTTGAAAGTCGTTTAAAGCTGTTAGAGTCTTACTGGGACAATTTTCAAGGCAACCACGTGTCCCTTCTTGCAGAAATAGGAGAGGACGCTGACAACGACCCCTACTTTCAGGAAGATGTCTATCATCAAGCAGAGAATGACTATGTAACTACCAGAGGCTACCTTTTTGACATTCAATCACGACTTAGAGTTGATCAAAGCGGCTCAGAACAGTTTTCCAGTCACTCAGCTGTCATTTCAAGTCACACCAGATTACCGAAAATAATTGTACCCCCATTTAATGGCGATCGGCAGCAGTGGGAATCTTTTAAGGATATGTTCTGGTCTTTAATCCACTCTGACCCCACATTAAAGGATGTTGACAAATTATACTATTTGAAAACTCTTGTTTCTGGCGAAGCTCTCTCTGCTATACACTCTATTCCAATAACGGCAGACAATTACGCCATCGCATGGTCCGCCCTGGAATCAAGATTCGACAACATATATCTTCTTGTACAGAGTCATCTAGTGAGTTTGAAGAGAATGCGTTCCATCAAAGAGGAATCACAAGCCGAACTCCAGAGACTATCTGACGATCTACGACGTCACCGAGAACAATTACGATCTTTAAAACGTCCAGTTGAACAATGGGATGACTGGTTTGTGTCAATCGCCTCAGATTGTATGGATCGAGTAACAAGACGTGATTGGGAAGAGGAACTGCAACGTCTATCACCAGAGAATAGTGCATCATTCTTTCCCTCCTTTACACAATTAGACGCATTTCTACAAAGACGATGTCGAACCTTGAAATCACTTGATCTAACACGAGGAAAACCATCATCCTCATCATCTCGATCCAGCGGTCATTCTAGTGGATCATCATCGAGAAATGCAACAGTAGCCGCTACCACTACATCAAAATGCGAAGCTTGCGATGGTTTACATTACATCGGCCGCTGTGAACAGTTTCAAAAGATGAGTTTGGTTGAGCGCCGAAAATTAACAAAACTTAAACGATGATGCTTCAACTGCTTGAGGTCCAATCACTTATCATCAACATGTCCATCATCTCGGACTTGCCGAACATGTCAAAAATCCCATCATTCACTGCTTCACGATACATCGGGAAAACGACCTGCAAAGTTCAATCAAAGCGGTGAAATTGCAAAAAATAAATCGCGACTTTCAGATGAGGAATCACGCAAAGAGCTAGACGGTTCATCATCTTGACCAACAATACTACCAACAGCTCTTGTAACTATTGGAGATTGGGATCATCATCACATACGAGTGAGAGCTCTCTTAGACCCTTGTTCCGAAGTAACCTTGATCAAAGAGAACTTGATCCACAAAATTGGGATCAACATTGAAATTAACCCACTTAGCATTAGTGGGATGGCTGGGATGACAATGGACCAAGCAAAATGCAGTGCAAAAATTTACATAAATCTAAAAGGTAAACACCCTTCAATTCCTGTTCAAGCTCATGAACTGAAACGTATCGGGATAACAACCCCATCTACGAAATTCACCGGTGAAATCCATGCACTTGAGAAACTAAGTTTAGCCGACCCTCATTTTGCGCATCCTGCTGGAATTGACCTACACTACCGTCGGGAATTATCGGTACGGCTGCACACGCACGGCCCAAAAACGTACCAATCTTTAAATCACGATTTTTTTGTAAATACAAATGTCAGAAAATTAACAAATATACCATTCAAAAGATTATTAAATTCTACGATTAATGGTACATAACTGAAAATTTTAATAATTTATACAAAGATTGCAGCAATCGACAAATTTGACAAAAAAAATTTTAAAATACAATTTTTTTGAAATTTTTTCAACCCCTGCACATTTTTTAAAAATTGTAGAAAAAATTTGAAACTTACATAAGTGTGATCATTCAAATTTCATCTTTAATTTAAGACCAAAAGAGTTTAAAAATCTTATTCGGTTCTTGAGATATCATTATAAACGTCCGAGCATGTTTTTTGACAAATGCATTGAATTAGTCGATTTTGAACGGTTTTTGGCTGAAAATGCTCGTCCGTTTATAATGATATCTCGCTAACCGATTAAGATTTTTGAATTCTTTTGGTCTTAAATTAAAGATGAGACTTGAATGATCACACCTATATAAGTTTCAAATTTTTTCTGCAATTTTTAAAAAATGTGCAGGGGTTGAAAAAATTTCCAAAAAAATTGTATTTTAAAAATTTTTTTGTCAAATTTGACAATTGCTGCAATCTTTGTATAAATTATTAAAATTTTCAGTTATGTACCATTAATCGTAGAATTTAATAATCTTTCGAATGGTATATTTGTTAATTTTCTGACATTTGTATTTACAAAAAAATCGTGATTTAAAGATTGGTATGTTTTTGGGCTGTGCGCGTGCAGCCGTACCGATAATTCCCGACGGTAGTGTAGTTCTTGGTGCAAATATTTACAACGATATCTTACTTCCGGGGGTTCAAAGAAGAGGGTCATTGCTAGGACAGAACACGATATTTGGTTGGGCTTTAACGGGATCAAGCCAGGAAAATTTCTCGAGGTCAATAACCAACGTCGCCACCATTGGGATGTCAACAAAAGATGAATCCTGGCAAGAAGGTATATTAGGACTGCTTAAGAAGTTCTGGTCAATCGAAGATATACCTCGGAAACCACGGCTGTCCGAGAATGAGGTCAAATGCGAGAGCATCTACAGCAGCCATCACAGTCGAAATGAGGTGGGTCGTTATGTGGTTCCCTTACCGCAAAAGGATAACTCTCGAATTATAATTGGCACAAGCCTTGCCGGCGCACAACTTGCTTTAAAAAGTCAACAAAAAAGAATGCAGAGAGACAAACAGTTTAAAGAGGAATATATCTCTTTCATGAACGACTATTTGAAATTAGGTCATATGAGAAAATTGTCGCCTCAAGAGATACAAGACAATTCACAACCAACTAACTACATTCCCCACCACGGAATTTGACAAAGAGGCGATAGTACTTTCAAATTCCGCGTAGTGTTTAATGCCTCTCGTAGAACGACATCAGGTTATAGTCTCAATGACACCCTTCACGCAGGCCCAAAACTTCAAAACCATCCTTCTGCGGTTGTTACCAATTGGCGAAAACATAAAGTTGCTTTCTGCGCCGACATAAAAATGATGTGCCGGCAGGTTTTAGTACGGACATCAGACACAAACTTGCAACGAATTATCTGGAGTCCGTCAGCAGAACAACCAGAGGAACATTTTGTGCTTCTTACCGTGACCTATGGAGTTACATCTGCTCCATACTTAGCATTACGGACCTTGAAGCAACTATGCCAAGCTGAAGGACAATCCTTCCCGACAGCTGTTCAATCAATTCAAGATGAGCTCTACATTGACGACTTTTTAAGTGGCGGATCAAGCGTGGAAGAAGCGAAACATCGACGTGATGAACTGATAGAACTCTTGAAGAAAGGAGGATTTGAACTTAAAAATGGGTGTCCAATTATCCAGATCTCGTAGGGGAAATACCTCTTTCTGACAGATTACGCCCAAGTTGGCGACATTTTGAAGTCGGGGGCTTTGTAAATGAATTAGGACTTGCCTGGGATCCTGTCCAAGATCAATTTCTAATTCATTTACAAAGCCCCCGACTTCAAAATGTCGCCAACTTGGGCGTAATCTGTCAGAAAGAGGTATTTCCCCTACGAGATCTGGATAATTGGAGCACTTTTTGATTGAAGAATGGGTTCTTTCGGCCAAGCGTCTTCGGCTTTTTTAAGCCAGGGTGGTCCATACCACCAAAGAGGATGCTGTGATAGATTTTCCTCGTGTTAGATCAAGTGATTTCAAGGTTCGGCATCGTCTTTGTAGAAATGCGTCCAATTGTGTGAAGGAGGGAAAGAATGATGCACTATTCTCTGGTGGTAGACGTTGCAGTTCCTCAAATCATCAACATTTCTGACCTTCGAGCCGGAAAAAGACATTCGAGATCAGATCTACTTGTACCAGGGAATTTACATGTGAGTTTATTTGGTAATCTCGTTGCTCTTATCGAAGTCGGGGGATTTGTAAATGAATTAGAAATTGATCTTGGACAGGATCCCAGGCAAGTCCTAATTCATTTACAAAGCCCCCGACTTCAAAATGTCTATCGACATCAACAGTCAATTTGAATTTTGGCATGAGTTTCGAAAATTATTTGATATTTTGTATAAAAGTGTTTGTTTATTTAAAATTTATTTTTTCTATATCTAAATAAAAATAAAAATTTTAGATTTGAATGTTACTTATTTTTAATTTAATAAACTTGTTTTGAGTACATTTTATTTGTTTATTTACACTATTTATAATTATTAACAGTCGAAAATTAACTTTTTCAAATAAATTATTTAACCTTTAAATTACAAATGATTACAAATTTTTAAATTGTTTGTATATAAAACTAAAGAAAGAATTAAGCTCAAATATCTATAAAATAATCATTTTCAAGCTTTATTAAAAAGATCTACATAAAAAATTTTCCAAAAAATTAATTGAAAAAAGGGAAAATAAACTCACATGTAAATTCCCTGGTACAAGTAGATCTGATCTCGAATGTCTTTATCCGGCTCGAAGGACCAAAATGTTGATGATTAATTAGAAATTTGATGAAAGAAAACTGAATAACACTTTGTAATTGACTAAACTTTATTAAAATTAACAATACTTAAGAATTAGAGGAACAATTAACATAA